TTTTTGTGTGTGTGTGTGTGTGTGTGTGTGTGTGTGTGTGTGTGTGTGTGTGTGTGTGAAGGAGGGCGACCCGAGGGTTGGGGGGGTGGGCGGGCATTGGTGCATGGCCCGGAACCCCCACTGGTGCTGGGGGTGGGGGGATGTGTGGTGGGGCTGGCAGGCTCCCTACCTGGCTCCACACCTCCCCCCTCAGCAGCAGCAGAGTTTGGGTGTGGGAGGGGGCAGGGGGCTGGGGCATGGTATGGGGTGAGGCGAGCTCTGGGTGGTGCTTACCTGGGGGGCTCCCCGAAAGTGGCGACATCCACCTTGCTCAGCTGCTAGGCAGAGGCGTGGCTGTCTCCGCCTCCAGGCACTGCCTTCGCAGCTCCCATTGGCCATGGTTCCCAGCCAATAGGAGCTGCGAAGCCAGGGCTCTGGGCAGAGGCAGTGTGCAGAGCTGCTTGGCCACGCCTCCACTTAGCAGCTGAGCAGGGGATGTGGCTGCTTCCGGGGAACCCCACAGGTAAGTGCTGCCCTGAGCCCGCCTCACCTTGTCCTATGCCCCAATCTCCTACCCCCTCCTACAACCAACCTGCTGCTGGGGTGGGGAGGGGATGGCCTGAGCCTGCCCCAGCAGCATCCGGTGCGACTGGTGCAGGGGCTGCCTGAGCTGCCCTTGAGCCAGGTGCACTGGCCGCTGCAGAGGTCACAGCGGTGATGGAAAGTCACGGAATCCATGACTTCCATGACCTCTGTGACAAACCCGCAGCCTTAGGTCAAGGCACTCTGGTCGTGTAATGTGGGAAAGCTACAAATAATAGATCATCTGTGATTATATAGAGAAATTCAAGCTCCAAGGCTGTCAATCTAACACTATTCAAAAACACTAAATTCACTGAAGGCTTCTTCAGCAGGGAATACAATATATGGAAATACAACATAGCTTACAATCTGTGTGGATTTTGATTGTCAAAATTAGAAAAACAATACTTTAAATTCCTTGTTCTTCTGTTTGTTACAGGAAGAGCTGAGGAATTATGGTGGGGAGTCTAATAAAAAACAGTCATATTTTAATTCATTTCATGCTACTCTGAGAGATTTCTCTCCATTATCTATTTCCAGCTGACTTTCATAGCAGTGGCCACATTGTTGTTAATGGCTGGAAAATCCACAACACAGCAAAGAACAAATGGTTTGTATGCATGGCAAAAACTTCTGAAGAGAAGCAAGAATGGCTGGAAGCTATTCTAAAAGAGAGAGAGAGAAGGAAAGGTAGGTGAATAAACTTTACATTGCATTTCATTTCTGGCAGACCATGTTACATTTGTATTTTCATTAAAAGTACAGCCAAGTGGCAAGCTCCAGATAGGGCAGACCCATGATGTTGGGTCAAATTGTCTGTGAAGCACTGATGTAATAACAACTTGAAACACACAAACCAAATTTCAACCAGGAAGGACATCATTGCTGAATGTGACTCCAGCCATGTGTACTGGTAACTGATGCTATTGTTGCAGTGGTCTCCAAACATTTTACCTCGTGCCCCCCTCTTACCACGGTCTGCACCCCCTCTCCCCTGAGCTGGGACTGGGAGGGGGGGGTGGACAGGGGTATTGGAGCCAAGGCTGGGGCCACAGATGGCGGTGTGGCCGGGAGCAGAGCCTCTGCTGGGCCCTGGGCATAGGGCCGGCAGCTGGGGCCGGGAATGGAGCTGGGTGGTGCTCCCTCCCCGTTCCCTGTGGGGGCTTGCCTAGGGCTCAGCTGCGCCCCCCTGAACATGTGTCTCCTCTCCCTAGGGGGGCACACCCACACAATTTGGGGACGTGTGAATTATGGGAATCTGACAGCTGCCTTGGTCTGAAGCTTGATAGTCCCTGGGGCAGATCTTCAGCTAGTGCCATTGAGGCCAGTTGAGCTATGACAATTTATACCATCTGAGGATCTGCCCCATAATATCTGCTAATGTGTCTGTATTTACTGATGCCATCCTGGGACGAGCTACCTATGCTTTTGAAATGAGCCAGCTGGCTGTATTGGGCCTTCATGCAGATGAGCCACCCTCAAGGTAATGCAAATGACACCTTATACCCCCAAAATGCTAATAAATGTGATTAGCCTCACTTAGTGTCCCACCATTGTCACTGGGAAGGCAGTGTAATTTGATACATCAGTTCTTCATGATCCTGATTTGCGGCAAAGACTATCTTCTGAAGCATAAAACCAGAACATGAACATTTCCCCCCCCTCCCGAAAAGTTACACCAGAAATACAAGTATGAAGTATGACACCACCCCTACATCCATATCACACCCCAAGTGGAGGAAGGCGAAAATCCACATTTTAGGCAAAATCATTCCTAAAAAGCTAAATGTGGGTGGAAGAACCTTAGACAAAATGTAAACCTGATTTCAAAAGTGGCCATAATCCCAGGTATTCACGGAGAACACAGTGCAGAATAGAAAACTAAGCCAATGAGAGACAACACAGCACCAACTTACATAGCACTAACTTCAGCTGCCAGCAAACATATTATAGGAAGTAACAAGTTATGGAGCCTTGATGATGAAAGGAAGCACGGCCTTGTCATTGGGGCATTGGTCTAGGGCTCAAGAGATTTGGCTTCATTTCATGTCTCTGTCGCATATTCTCTGTGTGATCTTGAGCAAGTCACTTAATCACTCTGTGCCTGAGTTCCCCATATGTAAAATGATGATAATAATACGTTCTTTCTCCCATCCTTTATCTGCCTTTTCTATTTGGGTTGTAAGATCTTCAGGGCAGGGACTGTCTCTTATCATAGGTTTATACAGCACCAAGCACCCCGATCTCCACTGGAGAATCTAGGCACTAATATATAGAAGTACTAATAATAAATATGTAGAAGTACTAATAATAAATAATGGTGAAGGGGCTTAAACCTTGAAGTACTCAACATTTGAAAGGGTGAATGAGGAAACTAGGGGGAAACCCAGGTGCATAAAACAAGAAAGAAATCCATCTGCTTTTGGTTTAGGGTCTTTCATGCAACTTGGTCAGAGAGGTTTCAGCCAATCAGGCCAGACAACCTGGGTACTATCTATCTTGATTTGCTCTGGCTCCTGACTGACATCTGTAGTTCACACATGAAAAGTGAGGCCATTTGAAAAGTGTTTCATGTTGATATGCTGTCGGTTTTTATTACCCATCTTGGTGCTATAAAATTTTGCTGTTGAGTTGCTTCCAGTAGAGAGGTGTCTGATGATGTTCAGATCCCTATGCAGGCTTCACTAGGCCAAATTGGGGATTGGTCCTGCTTTGAGCAGGGGGTTGGACTAGATGACCTCCTGAGGTCCCTTCAAACCCTGAGATTCTGTGATTCTATGAAATGAAAACGCAAGATTTGAACACTCCAGAACTTTGGATTTCAGAATGGAACTTTACAATTTGGGCCCATACTGTCATGTCTTCAGTTTCTCTCAACTAATGGTTAATAGCAGTACTTTTGCCACTGAAGATATAACTACGATATAAGGAGGAAGTAAATAGAAAGAGAAAGGGGAAGGGGATGGAATAGCAGATGAAGAGATAAAGAGAGACTGGGGCAACAGTCATATTGGGTCCCAGCACAGAATCTAACAATCTGTTCCTTAAATGTTTATCTTCTGACAACTCATAAACTTGCTCTATCTCCTCCTACCCAGACAATTTCCAAAACATCTGTATAAACACCTCTTATGTGGCAGGATGCATCAACTTAATTACAAGCAGGATGTCGGATGACTCATGAACCAAACAAACATCTTTACAGAATTCAAATACGCTAAAAGTAACTGTAAACAATTTCCCATTCACCACGAATAAAAAGATGCTTTAATTCTATGTTTACTTAATGAGACATGAAACCAAATTTTTCTGTTTGATGTGTGTGCAATTCAGATGAAGTTTGCACGCACATAACTTTCTAAAAATCAAAAAGGGGAGAGACACAATTCATTTAATTAGGATCATAGTAGTCATAATTTGAAAATTTGTAGTATATGCTTTTCTATAGTCCCTCTAGCAACTGTAGGATGTAAACGTCATGGATTGTAGCTAAACTTTTTCAAGCTCTTTTACTTTTACCTTTAAGCAACTTGTTACAATTCTAATTCCAATAATGAAAGAGACCTGGTTGCTTTATCTTTCCATCACAAGTTGTGCTATTGAATTGCTATAACTCCAGTCTATCAGTGTGTTGTCTAACAGCTCAATTTAGAATAAGCCTGGCTTCTTAAATGCCTTACTTAGGCAATGCTCTCATTGACTTCCTTAGAAGTTTTGCCCAGATAAGGAGGTTATGAGCAGATGCTTTCCTTTGCAGAAGGAACTAATTGACACACAACCAGGAAATCCAACATGAAATTGACCTGTGGAGAAACTCTTATAGTACAGATAATGATTATAGGAAAAAGACTTGGACCAACTAGGAGGAGAAACTGAACACAGAGAATGTTGATCTCCTGGGATGTGGATCCCTTTCAACTCCTTATCTAAACAAAAAGGACACCTTTTTTTGCTATGGCAATTTTTCCCAAATAAATAAGCTGAAATGCTAAATCAAAACCAGCTATGTGAAAGATATTGAGAGAAATTCAACCTATATTGGTTCCTGAAATCAAGGTAAATGCTACTGAGCAAAATGGAAAAGAATGCTATAGCTGAAGTATTGGGTTTATTGTAGCTATTAATCTTCTAACTTGAGCTATGGACCAGGACCATTTTATATCCCTATGTTTCTGGTGTAATGGAAACTCCAACTGTATCAGGAGATTTTATGTAAAAAGGATTGTAATACAGTTTGTTGGCTTTTATGCAATCACCTAGGGAATGCAGGAAGATGCATTTAAACCTTCTTTATTAACTTAATAGGAGCATATTCTCATACAAGATTTATGATGATGTGCATTTACTCCTTTATTTTAAAAAATGAAAGCAAGTGATGTGAGTGTAATGCATCAGGATGCCATTTGACCCATATATTCTAAGGGCAGTATACTGGTTAAGTTGTTTTTCCCCAGGAGTGAACATACTTGTATTGGTTAATCCATTTGTCTGGATTATCAGCATCAGGTGAATGTTTAGTGAGAAACATTTCTGTATCAATGTTAAATGCTATATTTTATCAGCTTTTTTCCAACTAATGCCACTATTATCTTTGTTTTGTTTATATTGCAGATTAAAAAAATAACCTACTACTCATACAGAAGATTTCCAGTTTTTAAAACTGATAAAATCTGAAAAAACTCAGATAAATTGAGAGTATGTTTCTATAAAATACATACCAAAAATTCCACATTGTACAATTTTTGCAGAGTTCAGAACCATTTATAGAGAAAGAAACTTAGCTGTGATTTCCAATACTTTCTGGGAGCACAGGTCATCATGGGTGGTCAATACATCATGTAGTTCAAGGAAAATATGTTCTGAACAACAATAAGGCTATCTTTTACTCAAAAGAAGTAATAGTAGTCGCATAAGAAAAACACAAAAAAAATGAGGAAAAAGTTAACAAACTGAAAAGCATGTATATTTTTTTTGTAAAAACTGCGAACACTAATTTCCATTTGTAGAATAGGATGAACTAAACTTGCCTTTCTACAGTGAAGGGTACGTGTGAGGATTAATTAGTCTTTGTGCAGAGCTTTAAAAAGATAAAACAGTAGTACAAGCATAAGTACAAATTATATAATATAATATCTTATATATATAATATTATATAAGATAAAGCATAAATACGAATTATTTTTTTATAACACAATAAAAGTTGAAAAATGGAAAAAGCTTTTCTCAAACATGGGGGAGGGGAGAATACTCCCTCCCCCCCCATTTGAAACCAATGAAAAGCACAACACTAATATTTCCTACTGTGATATCAATATAAGAGAGAATAAATATATGCTGTCAGGAACTTTCATTGATTGTCACTTCACTGTAGGGAGTTTATAAATAACATTCTAATATATTCTCAGATATTTTTGGAATATTTTATTGTTTACTTTTACGGGGATTTGTTATTCATATTAATATTAGCATCTATGTACTAATAAAGATAATTTAATGTGTCCAGTTATGACTCTGCTTTTATACACTTAAATATTTATTTTTTATATTTGTTACTTATATCTAAAATTTGAAAGATAATGGTGATAGCTGGGAAATGTTTTATAAATACAAAAGCGTTTTGGATTTTGTTGGCAGGTTTAAAATTGGGTATGGAACAAGACACTTGGGTGATGATCTCTGAGCAGGGAGAGAAACTCTACAAAATGATGTGCAAACAAGGGAACCTAATCAAAGACAGGAAAAGAAAACTAACTACTTTCCCCAAATGTTTTCTGGGAAGGTATGGTATGCATTTTTATCATTTGGATTTTAAGCAGCTAGAAACATGTTTTAAATCTTGTATAGTATTATCTATAATTAAGGTTGAAAGAAGCTTCCTATTATAGGCCCAATTTTCTTCCATTCCCTAAATTAACCAAAATTTAAATCAATCTGCCTGAAATTTCACAGGTATAATTTTATTCCAAGGTAGAACATTTCTGGAAGATAGATGTAAATTGGCAAAGGCACATTGGAGGTATAAGTGTATATCAGATGAAGTGGTGTCACTTTTTGAACTTGGAACATTTTCCTAACTTATTTGATTTGATTTGATTTGATTTATTATAATTTCAGAATGGCTTGGCCTCAGAACCTCAAAATTGTTTTAGCTGTCAGTCTTATGCCTTTCAAGAACTTATTGTTTTTTTGGAAGGAAGGAAAGTCAGGAGTTATTAAATTTGGTTTATTAGGAGCCCTGCATGTTGGTTTTAAGGACCTTAGAAAGTCCACTCCTGTTTGAGGTGAGCCTCTTAAGAATGCCATATGACGCAGATGGTATAATAAGCCCATGATGCAAAGTTCTGTTCCAGCCTTCATCCTCCACTAATCCTAAAAAAGATTAGCACTTATGAAACATTTACAGACATCACTTAGTGCTTCCACACAAGTACTTAGTGATGTAAGTATTTAACATTGCCCCTATTTTACAGAAGAGAAGACGAAAGCTTGGAGATGATAAATGACTTTACCAAAGTCACTCAGCTAGTAAGTGTAATAACCAAAATTAAAGCATATGGGTGAAATCCTGGCTCCAGTTGAAATCAGTGGCAAAACTCCAATTGACGTCAATGAGGCTAGCATTTCACTCCATCCCTCCTGATTCATAATGTAGTTGGCATGGAATAAGAACATAATGCTCTTTGATGTAAATCACTTGGTCCAAAATATTCAAAACTGGCCTCTAATTGTGGGCCCTCAAATTTTGGGTGCACAGTCGAAGATTGTTTAGGGCCATATATTTAGGACCAGGAAAATTATTCATACTTATTTGTTTGATAGAGAGGTTTCAATATCACTATATTACTTGCTATGATTGAGAATATCATTTGTCTGTTTTGAAAAACCATTAAATATGCACTATTGTTGCAGTAATGTATCTAAAATGTTTGTTCTTATTGATGCTGTTACTTACTGTTATAAGAAACACACCCAAGGAAACTCTGGTTTAAATTCCTATTTAGTATAGCAATTAACTGTCTGAATCTTAAAAGCTACCAGCAGGCTGATGTTAATAGCTCGTGCCCATTTTTATTTGTTGCATGATGGAAAACAGTCAGTGGTGAAGGACATCAAAGTTAGTTTTGTGGTATAATAAAAATAGGAGAATAACATTTTTTTAAAATACATGATTTACTAAAGTGGTAGAGTAGACCAGTACATGACAGGGTTTAGGCTTCAAAAAGGAATAATATTTTAGAACTATAACTTGTGCAGTTATATGCCAAATGTGGAGATTAGACTCAATTATTAGTGTGTGAAACAGGGATTTTAGTCTTGCATTAAGTGCAAATTGCAGTTCAATCTGAAGTACAGAGCAGTATCAACACCTCCATACTATATATACAGAAAGAGGGAGAGAGAGAACATGACGGTCTGATAGAAAGTTTCTATTGATAAGATTGGGATAGTAGCTTTAATCATAAGTGGCGACAACATACGTGAGCTATGCAGATGATCCCAAACAAGTGCTGATGAACTTTTTATACCACGTTTTATACCATCACACCATGTTTTAATAGGAAAACTATTTTAGAAATACCGCATTGTAAAACATTTTGATGCTATTTGCATCCCTCCACCAGTAAAACCAGGTTACCATGAAACCAATTGTACAGGGACATATGAAGCCATAAAAAACTCTAAAACTGACTGAAAATAGCTTTTCTTGAAGGTCTGATATCAGGATCCTCTTTGGATAGAAGCAAGTGATGGGTTCCAGGGTGGACATGAGTTGCCCTTTCCTAACTTTCCAGCGGTATAAAGTTCTTATTTCTAGCTGTGCGAGGTGATCAAGTATGGGACCTTAAACCTTTCACTGGACTAGTAATCAGTATTGCCTGTCCTCTGCAAGGGGTCAATGTAATGTTGGGAGAAAATTCCATATTTGGGGGAATTTGTCTAGGATGTAGGTTTAAAAAAGACATGGAGATTGTTCAGAGGTTTAGAAAATTAGAAGCAGTCCCACAAGAGATGGATTAATGGGCAGTGTGCAGGTGAGGTAGCCAAAGATGTATGGTAAATTGTGAATTTTATTTATTGTAAGGTTGGTGCAACTTATCACCTGGATATCTTCACCATATGTGTTGTGTGTATGCAAGTGTGTTTGATATATGTGCCAACTAAGTAAATAATATATTAGACACAAAAATACATTTAAAACAGATTATTAAGGTTGTAAAGTCAAGCACTCAAAAGTTAGGAAATGCTAGAATTAGTTTCCCAGGCAATCTTAACTAACTCTTCCCTTGTGCGTAAGAATTATGATACAATGACACGATTACATACGTTACATATTTTATCCCCAGAACCCTTGCCTCAATCATTGCACAGGATGGACAGTGTTCATTTAATGAGCAGTTAAACACTATTTTATTTTCTCCTTGTTCTTCAGTGTGTGGTTCCAGGCATTATTTACTGCACACTATTCAAACCCTGCAGTGAAGGCAGAATTATTAATTTTCTCCTGTGCTTTTTTATGATCATCACAATAGTATCTCTGTGTACTTTGCAAACATGAACTAATTTAGTTTCACAATACCCCTGTAAGGTGAGGGGGTGCTACTATCCCCATTTTAGAGATGGAGAACTGAGGTATAGAGAGATAATTAAAGTCAAAAGTTTCTGCTAATTCTGGTTGCCCAATTTAGGACAACTGAGACCTGAGTTTTCAGAATACTTGGCATTATATAGCACTTTATGTTCAAAGCACAACTCCCATTGACTTGTGAGGACTTGGCCAGAGCGCCGGGGGGAGGGCGGAGAGCCCAGTCGCGGTCCTGCTCTCGGGCCAGAGCGCCGCGCCGCCCCCCTCCAAGTGCCGACCCAAGCACATGCTTGGTGGGCTGGTGCCTGGAGCTGGCCCTGTCTGCAGCTCAGAGCCTGGGGTCTCAAGTTGGGCACACAGAAAATGAAGAACATACAACTAGTGATCACCTATGAAAAGTTTGGGTTAAGTGAATTTACTAGCATCACACTAGAAGTCTGTGGCAGAGGCAGGGATAGAATCCAATTCTCCAGGGCTGCATCTAACAGTCTAAACCATGAAACAATTCTTTCTCTTCTTGCAATCCCTGCCTCATTCACTACATACTTTCCAGTTTCTTGCACAAATGGGGCAGAGGTCCTCTTGTATTAATTGAAATGGAGTATATGGATCCAAAGAGTTAAAAGTGCTAACATAACCCAGTCCCTGTCCAGCATTAAACAGTGTTAAACAAGGTTTGCAATTTGGTAAACACACCATTAAAAATCCCTTTTTTAAAGATACAGAAGAGAAGGAAAAACATTTAAAGCATTTGAAATCTAAAATATTAAGTAAGGCTTTCAGTCTAACAACAGCCCTTATTCCCTTTCTTTCTAGAGCTCCAGAGAGTCTTTAGAAGAAAAAGAACCCCTTCTTTAACAGTCTCTTAAATGGTATTAAAGATGTTAATAACTGTCCTTTTGGGGGGGGGAGGGGGAGAGAAGAATTTAGTTGAGATGGGCTGAAGCTGCTGCTGTTGCTCTTGTTGTTAAAGTCCAATCCCATTTCCCAGAAGACAAAACAAGGCAAATACACACACAAAAGGAAAGAAAAGAATAGCAAAAGTAGAAAATGCAGCTTCTGTTTCTGATGTTGACTTTCACTTGCAGCTTCAGTGCTGGAAAAACACAGGCCCACACACAGTGTTATCAGCCTCCTGGAGACCTGGCAAACTTGTACCAGAATTGGGGTGTTTAGGGCATTGCTTTTAGCTGGCACTTTCAAGTCACAGGTTTACAGCAGTGTTGCAAAATATAGAGTCTTGGCTGGCTAAGCTAGACTCTTATTAGAAAGAAGAAGAAAGAGAGAGAAAGGAAAGAGAAGAAATAAGATAGGGAAACAAAAGGACACTAAGGTGGCGAACAAAATCTCACATCCCAGGCGGTGTTTGGGATTCAGCTAGAGCTGGTGGATTTGGAAGTGTCATCTGTGTCCCTCTCACCCAGTCTGGTCTGGACATCCCTCAGGATCAGAATGATGAAGGCCCCTGGGGTCCCAGGAGAATGTGGGCTCACAGCCTTGATGATGAAGCTTGCTCCAGTAGCCATATTTTCTCTCAAAGTCTCTTTCTTTAGGGACCGAAAAAGGGGAGTGAGGGGTGGAATAGTCAATCCCCTCATTATTTTATTCATCAATTAGGTCTTAATTCCGACACACTAATTTTGGTTCATTGATTTCTCGTTCCACAGTTTTCTCTTTTACCAAGCATAATCTTTACACAGTCCTTGAGTTACACCTCTACCCCAATATAATGCGACCGATATAACACGAATTCGGATATAACGCGGTAAAGCAGTGCTCCGGGGGGGCGGGGCTGTGCATTCCGGTGGATCAAACGTGGTTTCACCTATAACGCGGTAAGATTTTTTGGCTCCCGAGGACAGCATTATATCGAGGTAGAGGTGTATATTAGTAGGCCTTTTCATTCTGGACTAGTTCAGTCTTTCTGTCTCACTTTTCATACTTTTCCCCCTTTAACATTTGTTGTTATAGGTTATTGTCACCTTTTATAAACTTACCATCACTTTTCACGGTTGAGCTCACAATTAGACGCAATTATCACAAGAATCCTACAGACGAGAGACTCCTTCACATACAGCCCTGATTGATCCCCAGAGCAGGCCATGCTGTGAACTGAATAAGTTAGGGGTCCTATGTTAGAAATAGTATGTGATTACGTATTCATAGATTCATAGATTCTAGGACTGGAAGGGACCTCGAGAAGTCATCGAGTCCAGTCCCCTGTCCTCATGGCAGGACCAAATACTGTCTAGACCATCCCTGATAGACATTTATCTAAGCTACTCTTAAATATCTCCAGAGATGGAGATTCCACAACCTCCCTAGGCAGTTTATTCCAGTGTTTAAGCACCCTGTCAGTTAGGAACTTTTTCCTAATGTCCAACCTAAACCTCCCTTGCTGCAGTTTAAGCCCATTGCTTCTTGTTCTATCCTTAGAGGCTAAGGTGAACAAGTTTTCTCCCTCCTCCTTATGTGACACCCTTTTAGATACCTGAAAACTGCTATCATGTCCCCTCTAAGTCTTCTCTTTTCCAAACTAAACAAACCCAATTCTTTCAGCCCTCCTTCATAGGTCATGTTCTCAAGACCTTTAATCATTCTTGTTGCTCTTCTCTGGACCCTCTCCAATTTCTCCAAATTTCTTTCTTGAAATGCAGTGCCCAGAACTGGACACAATACTCCAGTTGAGGCCTAACCAGCGCAGAGTAGAGTGGAAGAATTACTACGTATTAAAAACCTGTATTATAATCCAGACACACAAAGGCGGTGAATTAAAGTTACATGGGCAACCTTAATTCTGTCACTTCCTAAATTTTGAGTGCTTGACTTTGCAATCTCAGTAATCCTCTTTTAATATAGTATTTTGTGGGTGTGTAATTTCCTAGGTAACTAATAAAACATGTATTCCATCATGTGGCATCACATTGACACCCACATGCAATATCAGCAGGGTTGGAAACGTTAAGTCTACCACATAGACTTCTGCCACTTGACCTAATGGAGTGACTGATAATGATAGTAAATTGACATCCTCCAGATAACTAGAGAAAGATAAGACACATACTTTGCCAGTGGATTTCACAGATATTTGCTGACAGCAAAGGAATGATGAGACTCAGCAGACTTCGGTTCCATTCCAGTTTCTGCAGGGGAATGTGCTCTTGTGGGCACAGACTCTTTTGGCCTGTATCCATCCCAATCATGTGTCTTCTCCACCCTGGCTTCTCATCCTAGTCCTATTCCTTTTACCTTGCTAGTCCAGTATCCACTCCTCAGGCTTCTCATCCCAGTCCTAGTCTCCTTGCTTATCTGTTCCCAGCCCTGATTTCTTGTCTCCTCCCGCACCCAGATTCTTAACTGATCTGTCTCTCCCCTCCCCTCTCATGTCCAGTTTCTTACTCTGCCCCTGCCCATGTTTCTGGTCCACAGTAGCTCCTGGGCCTTCTCATCTGCTTTCCTACAGATGTCTCCCTCCCATCACCTCCTTTCCCCTGCTCCACTGGTTCTGAGTCCCATTTCCTTGTCCAGCCAGTCCCAACCTCTCCCCACCAGCCTCCAGGATCTCACTCCCACTCCCAGACTCTTTTTCCCAATCTATCTTGTCCCCTTTGCATTTGATTTAGGAAATTTCCTCATCCACACTGCGCCGGCTCAGCAGGATGGTCACTAAGAACCCAGGAGAGAGAATCTTCAGTCTCTCAATTCTGATGCCCCAGCCCCACCATGGCCTACAGAGCCCAGAGCTGCAATTGCAGAGAGAGTCCTGCTCTGACCCCTGCATCCGAGGCTGGAGCATGATAGAGTGTTGCAGCTAAAACTTCCATTGTCACTGAGCAAGTCTCTACTGGGCATATACAAACTGAGATATTTATATACTTATAACTTGGCCAAATTTGGGTGGATTTTCCCAGAGATGTCAAAAAACACATCCATCACACAAAGGACATCTGCCCTCTGCCAAAATTTCAAGTCCCTGCTCTAAAGACGAGAGACATTTAAAGGGTCTCAGAAAAAAAACACCATGGGCAAGACAATGTATTTTTCCTCTAATCTTGTTGTCAGAAGCAGCTGAACTATTTTGGCTGAAATTTTCTAGAAAAATGCATCTTGTGGCAGACACCCAGCATGGAAAATTTCAGCCTGACAGTTAAAGTTTGGCAAAGTTATAAGTAACTGAAAACACGGTCTTATAATGGGAAGTATCCCTCAACCTTAATAGGAGTGACTACCAGCTCTGCGTATAACAAATACAAGTGGAAAATGAGAATATGTTGGAAATAATTCTGTTATGCAGAATATGTTGAAGAGTGTTATGTCAGTATGAATACTGCTCATTGCAGTCTGCTAAATGAATAGTGTGTGGAATATTGTACAGTATTGCTTTCTAGAGTTAAAGCCTTAAAAATATTGGAATTGTTTTGTATGTGTGTGGTTTTGTTTTGTTTTTTAACCTAGTGAGTTTGTGTCCTGGTTATTGGAAACTGGAGAAATACACAAATCTGAAGAAGGTGTTCATCTTGGCCAAGCGTTGTTAGAGAATGGCATTATCCACCATGGTAAATATATTTTATTTCAACATATGTACATATTTTCAAGGTTATTTATGTTTGTATTTGTTGTTATTTTGAACATTCTTTTCTGATTAACACAAAACTGGTTTGTCAGTACTTAACGTCGAAGGGTGAAGTCCTTCACAGGGTAGTAGCATGGGGGGACCCAGTCCTACCTTCTACTAAGGGTTCCTACCTCTGTGAACCCTAAACAACTAGGGTATCTGCCCCATAATTCAAAGCCAAACTTGCTTTCTTTCCTTCTCAGGGCCTCCAACCTGGCCTCCCTGGAGAGTCTTTTTCCTTGGGTATTTCTGACCTCAATTCTGGGTTAAAACGTCTTCACTCTTGGAAGAAGATATCTGTAGATCTCCTTTCTGGGCCTTTTTCTCACTTCTGGCAGGTTTCTCCAGTCCACCAAGGTTCTGATTCTACCTTAGGGGACCTCCCTGCAGGTCTCACCTCACTCTAGGCTCTCCCCCACCTGTGCCAAGATTAGTCCTTTGTATATTACCAACACAAAGCATTCAAAAATTGTAGTCAGACACCAAAAAGTCATGAGATTAAAGAAAAGCAATAAATGTAGACAAGTATCAGGGGGTAGCCGTGTTAGTCTGTATCTACAAAAACAACAAGGAGTCTGGTGGCACCTTAAAGACTAACAGATTTATTTGGGCATAAGC